AAACGGCAATAGTCATAGCTGTAAATAATATCCACATATATGCATATATGTACACATATATACATGTACATACGTACATACATGTATGAACTAAACCAGTAGAGGACCCCCCTTGGAAATAAGGCATAACATGAAGTGAGTTTCCCACTTCCCAGATTTCACTCTAGGTACAAACAGCAGGGAATGTGATTGGAAATGCCTGTACAACTTCACCAACAAGGAAGGCAGAGGAAGACTGCAGCATATTTATACAAACACTAGACAGCAGCTAAGACGAATGAAGGGCAGGGACAGGACTAAAGTGAATCTATCCAAACCATGGAAGAAGTCAGCAGGGATTAAGACAAATGTTTCCTGATGAAAAATTTCACAAGTTAAAAACTAAAACAATTATTTTTATGGACACATCAGATTTTTTTTTAAACCATACAAACATCAAAGACATGAAATGTTTACCCTGGGCTCGGAAGCTGGTAAGAAGTCTACTGCACACATTATCTAGTTAGACTGAAGTTTATGGACACATTTTATATTTTGGGGTGGTGGATTCACACATAATTTGTCGATTCACTAAATATGCCTAACCAAATAATAAAAGTGAGGTGCTGATAGGCTGATTGATTATGAGAATGCATCGAGAATTGGGAACTGTGATTAAGCCAAATATGTGGTTCACAAAAGGAAACAGCAGTTGGGAGAGGAGGGGAGCAAGGGGGGAGGGGCAACAACTTGGGGATGGAGGGAGAAGTCTAAGATTAGATAGCACCGGCTGAGAGCGCTTAGCAGCCCTTGGCTATCAGAGGAAGGGTAGTGACTGGGCTTACTCAAGGCGGGCAGCAGCTCGGTGTTTGCCTTGGGAGGTCCCGGGAGTGAGAGCATTGGGTTGCAGCTGACATGGCATAGACACAAGGGAAGGCTGGCAGCAGACCAGGCCGAACCGACTGTGGCGTGGAATCCTCAGAGAGGCTCCGTGGGTCCTTGGAACACTTTACAAGGGAATGGCCATCAGCCACTCCCTGCACCCCACCAGAGGGCCGGACCCGAGTCACACAGAGGCTAAGAACATGGGAAGGCAGGAGCTCACTGGGACTGAAATCTTCAGCCAGCCAGCGTAGTTAGGAGGACCCAGTCGATTGTGGAGTTACCCACCTGCTCTCCGGCTCCATTTTCCAACCTGTAAATTAGAAGTGTAACTCTAGTATTATAGAGCTTTCCTAAAAGCACAGGAATATGGTCCATGTGAAAGGCCTAGTGCCTTAAGAACTCAGTCCTGGTAGCTAGAAAATGTCTCTTCCAGTGAGCTCCCATGCACCCACAGGCAGGTTCCTAGTCAGCAGGAGGACACCTGGGAGAAATTCTCTCTGGTTTGTTCCTTCTCTAATCAACAGAGGTACTGGTGACATAATGGTATGGCCGACCTCGTCCCTCCAAAAGCCAGTCTCCATTTGAGAACTCCGGGAAGTTGGAACAATGCTTTTAACACCACAGATCACATTAGAAGCTGTGCATTCCTGGGTTTGCTCAAGCATAGTGACTAACCCCAACCACTACCACCAAAGAGATGGATGGATGGGTGGATGGATGGATGGATGGATGGATGGATGGATGGATGGATGGATAGATAGATAGATAGATAGATAGATAGATAGATAGATCTGGCCTAAAAGCACTTATCTACAGAGAATTACAGCTCTCTGCTACTTTTGCAGGGTTCTTGAGGTCTAAAGTTGGGATTCTATGCAACTGCCTGTCTTTAATTAGTTTAGACAGATTCTTTCTAGGGGGAGAGCAGGAAGTTGGAGAGGCAGGAGACATCTCAGTGTTTCTGGCTTTGTCAGTAGGTAATGCTCTTTTAGCCAGTGCCTGGACACAGTCAGGAAGAGAAAGGTGTTTCCAAAACTGATCAGCACAGCCTTAGTTTGTGGGCACAGCGGGAACAATGAAAATCAGAGGACTGGAATCTCAGAAAGGCAAGAACGTCACAGCAGCCTGAAAACAGACATATTTGTAGCTATTGATTTAACCTGCTCTTGTTTTTAATTCACTGGGACCCTGTAGTGGGCTCCCCTCGCCCCCAGGGGGCTAAAAGGAGAAGAGCACAGCTGTGGGGAAGCCTAAGTAAGGTTGGCCGCTGTCACCAGCTGCTCATTTGCCTTTCAACAGGTCAAACAGGCTGCACTGCACTTCCTGCTGCCTGTGGGTCTTCCACAGCCTAGGCTTAAGCTGAGCTTCAGCGTTCTTTCACTGGGGTCCCACCGGGAGGCGTGGCCTCTGTGTGTTGAAGGTACCACGTAGTTTAAAAGAAGGAGGAAGGACAGTGGAGGGAGGGGGAGCGAAGGAATCCGGAAGAAGAGGTGGGAAAGAAGAGGAGGGTTGAAAAGTTGGAGGGAAATGCCTAGGTTCTTATTGGGACCTCAGCATTCCTACCCCTTCAGGAAGAAGGAAACAGAAGCCGGCTGGTTCTGTACAGCCAGGTATTTTTCTACTCCTACCAACCTCATTGCTGCCTCCTAGTGAAGGCTTCGGGATTGGAAAGGAGACTGAGTAGCTGGACGCCCACAGACATTTTCCTGCAAGTGTATCTCTGTTTCCCATCTGTGGCTCCAGGTGTTACTGTGTCCCTATGGAAAAGAGACCCTTCAGGAGTCAGGCTGGTCTCTGGATGCCTACCAAGAGTTCACAAGACAAGTCCCATTACACTCGCAGTTCTCTGCAATGCCTCTGTCCTTTGCAAGGTCCTCACATTGGCCACTCCATTTCCTACAAACTAGATTTTCATCTTTCAGGAGAACTGCACCAGGGCTGCTAAGCACATGCCACGCTACCAGTATGAACATAACACAGTACCAAATGAAAAGTGAACTTACATTTGGGTATGTATACACGAAAATGACTCAGGGCTTCCTTTATTAAAAGCTCAGCCAGGTTCAGGCCAGGGGATAACAGGGACACACTACTTTCCTTCATCTCACAATTACTGGGGTGCTCTTTTCTTGGATGTCAAGGTCTCAGGCCAAGAATACTGATCCTCAAAAATCCAGAACTGATAACTCATACCCCTCCTATTTTTAAATGTGCAAAGTTTTGTTTAGTGAACACATGAAGCACACAAGTTGGTTTCTACATCTTTGCTTCCTACAGGACTTTCTAACACGGTTCATCCATCAAAAAGTCAATATTAAACCCTTTATACCAGGGCTATCTGAAGAAGTTTGGTGTATCTGATTTTGACAACATATAACATATATAAAGCATAGCTTTTGGTCATATATACAAATATTTCAATGCAATCATAATTTATTGAAGATTTTAAAGACAAATTGGAAGCACATAATCATTTAAAATACCAACATAAATTAATTTCTTCAACCTTCAATCATTTTTATGTCAAGATAATTTCATTATTTGACTCAACTTTATTCTGAATGATTAGTGAATAACAGTTTTCATACATTGTATCCCCCCATATATATGTTCTTTGTGTGACACTGTGTAGTACTTTTCTCTCAAACCTATTATGCAAGTTGGTAAGCTGAAAGCTCACAGATGGTAATTTGGTAGTTTATCATCATGAAACAGTATATTTCATATCCTAGTCTATGTAATTACACCTAGTCTTAACATTGCACCACCCAGAGTGTGTGAGTGACAGTGTCTTCTAGAGTGTGTTAAAGAATATGATTCTAGAGAAATCAGTTCCATTGTTTTAGCAACAGAAGGAACAAACACAATCCGAAACAAGCATTTACCAAACATGACAGCTAGGGAAAACAGAAACCCACTTAACACGCCACTACCACTGACTGGCACGTCTGATGACATCTCCACCAACGTTCCCAAAAGCAATTGCTAATCTTCAATTTAAAGGAGCAACAAAACAATCCCAATTCTTAAATAAACACACACACAAAACAATTCCCGTCAACGCCGTAATTGTAATCAGCGCTTTAAGGGTCTGGTGCGTGTACAAATTAAACATCAATTGCAAGAAGGCATAAAAATACTTAACTTTGTACAAATTTGTTACTTGCAAACAACCAAAGGAAGAAGGCAAGTAAACAGCCTGAAACACAGAAGCTACCTGGGGGGGGGGGATCCCAGCGAGATGGGAGGGAGGTTTGCAAACAAAACTACCCTGTTTGATTTTTGTTCAGAGCGTCAATTATAATTGCTCTAATTACCAAGCATGAAAATGCGCACAGCAGCGCAAAAGTAGTCCAGTGTGAAGCATGGTTTTTAAGTCTGTGTAGAAAAAAAATGATTTATACTTCTGATTTGAGGCACCTTCCCCCTACCATGCGGTGGAGAGACTGAATATTAAAGAGATGATACCAAGACAGCTCTGGTGGTCAGGATTAAAAGAAAGCAAAACAAGGCAGAAGGCAATTGCGAAAGAGCTGGGTATTCAGATTCGGACTCAACCTAGGCTCGCCCCTTTGCCCAAAGCTTGCCAAAAGTCTCCCTGTCCATCCTAAGATTTTATTTTTTTCGCTTCACTACCTGGGACCGAGTGCATCGCCAGGCGAGGGAGTGCGGGCAGCGTGTGTGCTGCACGCCACTTCTGGCCCTCCAAGGAAAATGAGTAATTTCTTGCCTTTCGGAACAGTGCAAACACTTTCAAAGACGCACCCCCCCCGCCTCCGCCCCCACCACACCTCCTCAGGGTTAACCCTCTTCCTCCTCCGCAGTTCCTGAAGCGCCGCTCCTCGGGTGTACCACCTTTATCCTCCCGGAAGAGGCTTCCCGGAGCCGCCAGCAGAGCCGCGGTAGCGCTGGGCCGAACAGGGGCAACCGCCGGGGACACCCAGGCTTGCCAAGCGCCAAACAGTGCGCAGACTCCGCGGCGCGCGGCGGACTCTCCACTCGTCTAAACCTGCACTCAGAGTGAAAAAGAGGAGGAGGAGGAGTGTTGGGAAGGGGCGAAGAGCTGGGGGGGGGGGGCGATCCTGTTAATTTCAGGTCGGGGAGGGGGGAGCGGGAGGAGACTCCGCTGGTCCCTCCTCCCTCCTGGAGTCCCCGGCTCCTCCTCCTCCGCACGCGCAGGATATACACACAGACACACACACACTCACACACACACTCACATACAGTCGCGGCTGGACATGCACACCCAGCGCCCGCTGCCGGCGCCCACACTCGCAGGTGGCGACACTCACCTGAGCTGGTACCGAGGGCTCCAGCCACCTTGGGAGCGGCAGAGCGACGGCCTGGGCCCGGAAGGGGCTCCGAGCGGGGAAAGCAGGAGCGACCCTAGCGCAGACCTGCGATCCGAGGTGATGGCGCGTTTTCTTTAATCCCCTTCCTCCGGTACCCGGGTGCCCGCACCCATCCAGCCCTCGGCCCGGGGAGAAGCCGGGAGAGAGGGGCTCTCGGGCGCGGCACACACGCGGGCGCACGCTTCGCGGCGCGCTCACCGAGAGGGGCGCGGCTGAGCCCCTGCCGGAAACTTGCAAGAAGTTAGTTGCGAGTGTCTGGCTACCACGACCCGAGCCAGGAGGAGAAGCCGCCCGGGCCCGGCCTGCCGCGCTGCCCGGCGCCGCCCTCCGCGCCCGGAGTGCTCCAGAGGCCAGAGTCGGCGGGCGAGCCTGGAAAGGCTGGGAGCCGGCGGAGCCAGCATGACCCCGGGGACGGCTCGGCGCAGCGATTCGGAGAGCACGGACCGTTTCCACTGAGACCCGGCAGCTTCAGGCTTGCTGGAAACCTCATCCCGCCTCTCTCCTCACCTCTCCTGAGCGAAAGCCGGGGAGCGAGACTCTCGAGGCAGGTGTCGCGGGGGACAGGGTCCACCCTCGGCAAAGCTATCGCATTGGGTGGGGGTTCCATCAGCGCAACCCTGACTCGCATCGAGAAGACCGGCCGGTGGTGTGTTTGCGTTTCTATCCATCGCGGTGCTCTGCGCGCCCAGACCCTCCCCCCTCTCCTCTTCCTCTTCGGGGAGGGGGCTACCCCTCCCCCACTCCCATCTGCTTCTGTCAAACGAGAAAGTCACCGCGGAAAACCCAAACACTCCAGAGCCCGGGAGCCCCCTTTGGCACTTGGCAGCACGCGGCGGTGAGCTTCTCGGCTCAACTTGGTGGATCCTGTGTCACTCAACTTTTCGGGGCTGCTTGGCATTTAGGGCACTGAAGACGAGGAGAGGGCAGAGTCGGTCCAGGCGGTGGCCACCTGCAGGGAGTTGGCGAGCAGAGCAAAGGCTACCGGACAGAAGGACACAAAAAGACAGCAGAGGGCAAAGTGCCCCCGCGGAGTGGGGACGCTGCCCAGAAGTCCCAGAGTCCCGGAGAGGATTTTTTTTCCCTAGAATTTCGGCCGGGGAGACCGAAGCGACCCGGGACGCAGCGGCCCCGGCCCTGGGCTGTCCCTCTGCTCCCCTCTTCCCGAGCGGGAGCGACGCCTGGACGCGCGGTCGCCGGCTGAGCGGGTCCCCGCTGGCGGCCAACATTGATTTCCTCCGGGCGGAGGCCGAGGGCCCCGGCGGCGGCGGCGGCGGGCTGCAGCCGCGGCACGGCGACAGCATGTCCAAGCCGGTGGACCACGTCAAGCGACCCATGAACGCCTTCATGGTGTGGTCGCGGGCTCAGCGGCGCAAGATGGCCCAGGAGAACCCCAAGATGCACAACTCGGAGATCAGCAAGCGCCTGGGCGCCGAGTGGAAGCTGCTCACCGAGTCGGAGAAGCGGCCGTTCATCGACGAGGCGAAGCGCCTGCGGGCCATGCACATGAAGGAGCACCCCGACTACAAGTACCGGCCGCGGCGCAAGCCCAAGACGCTGCTCAAAAAGGACAAGTTCGCCTTCCCGGTGCCTTACGGCCTGGGCGGCGTGGCGGACGCCGAGCACCCGGCGCTCAAGGCCGGAGCCGGGCTGCACGCCGGCGCGGGCGGCGGCCTGGTGCCCGAGTCTCTGCTCGCGAACCCGGAGAAGGCGGCCGCCGCCGCCGCCGCCGCGGCCGCGCGCGTCTTCTTCCCGCAGTCGGCGGCCGCCGCCGCCGCCGCCGCCGCTGCCGCCGCCGCCGCGGGCAGCCCCTACTCGCTGCTCGACCTGGGCTCCAAGATGGCAGAGATCTCGTCGTCGTCGTCGTCGTCCGGCCTGCCGTACGCGTCGTCGCTCGGGTACCCCACCGCCGGCGCGGGCGCCTTCCACGGGGCGGCGGCGGCGGCTGCAGCGGCCGCCGCGGCCGCCGGGGGGCACACGCACTCGCACCCCAGCCCGGGCAACCCGGGCTACATGATCCCGTGCAACTGCAGCGCGTGGCCCAGCCCGGGGCTGCAGCCGCCGCTCGCCTACATCCTGCTGCCAGGCATGGGCAAGCCTCAGCTGGACCCGTACCCCGCGGCCTACGCCGCCGCGCTATGACACTCCCCGCCCCGCGGGGCCGACCCGCGAGGACCCGAGCGCACACGTGTACATATGTATAGGTACGGGGCTCGCGGCCTTCCCGTGCGCCCTCGGGCGGCTGGGGGGCCCCCCGGTTCGCGTGTACATAGATGTAAAGGTGTCAGGCGGAGGCGCCTGCCCGCCGGGGCTCGAGGGGGCGAGCGAGCGAGCGTGCGCGCGGATTCTAGGATCGCTTCCCACCCGCACTGGTGCGTGCGTGCGCCAGCTCGGGCGTTTGCTTTGCACTGCGGGACCTGTTGCGTTTTGACCCAAGGAGGCGGGAGGAGAAACTTCACAACTTGGTGGGCTTTTCCAGTTTTGTTGGTTGGACTTTTTGCTTTTTTTTTTTTTTTTTTTGTCTCGTCTTTCCTCCCCCCACCCACCTCCCCCCGTCCCTGGTCTTCCTCGGTCTGTGTTGCATGCGTGCACCCGGTTCTGATGGTAGGTCTGAAATATCTGGAAAAGGGGAGCTGATGGCCTGTCCTTAGCCTCTTAGAGTAGGGTGCTCTGGGCAGCCGACCTCTGTGTATGTGTTGTTGTCTGGACTCTGCAGAGCTCTGCAGACTCCCACACCGGATCTACTCCTGACCAAGTGACCGGCTCGAATCTGGCCTTTGTATGAGAGATGATCACCGGTCCTTTTGTTTCATCCCGTATGCAAATGAAAAGCAGGAGCTCTTTTTTAAATCTTCTTCTTCTTCCCCAAGAACAAGGGATGCGATGGAATACGTGTGGGGTGGAAGTTGTCAGTTGGATATTCCACCCTTGGAAAACCTACTAGAAGTCTCCCCGAGTCCTCTGGCTTGGACTCGTGACCTCGTGACAGCAGTTTACAAAAGCGTAGAAAGCTCGCCTGCTATTTTCCCCTCGTGGCTGCCTTCACATTAAGACTGTAAATGTGTGTATGTCGGTGAGAACATCGGGTCTTGGAAAATGTGCTATTCTTGTTGCCCTAAATTTGAGTCGGTTCTAGGCTCAAAAATACACGTAGAGCAAATGTCAAAGTTAACTTTTAAGAATTGCGGAACTATTTCAGAATCGCAATTTTATCTAAGATATAAATCAGACTTTTTTGTCTGAGCCGTAATTATATATTTATTACTTATCAGAACTGGAGGAAAGAAAACAGAAAGCACAGAGTTGTTTTTGAAAGCTGCCTCTCATTGTCAAACTAACATTCCCCTCCCACCCTGAACTGTTTCCATGAGTTTTTCGGAGCTCACTTTCCGATTAGCTTATTTTCCAGATAGTCCGCAATTCACTTGCAAATTACAATAAAATACATTTTAGAGAAAAAAAACTCCTCAAATTATAGCTTTTTTCCTTTTTAAGTGTATATATATTTTGACTAATGTTTGTGAATGAAGTTGCTAACATGTATTTAGTTTCATTTTGGCTTTATGTAAGATAAAGTTTTAAAAGTCTAAATATTGGTTTTAACTTTTATGTGTAAATGGTTTTCTTGTACGATCTTCTAATTTAATATTAGATGCGTCTAAGCTATATCTGTAAATTAGAGCCCTACTATCACTCTGTCCATTTTTTTTGAACAAAGAGTTTAAATAAAGCCTGAACCAGGGAAAAGAGAAAATCCTCTATTTCTTGTTGAGTTACTAACAAGATTTTTATCTGAATTGCCCTCGCGGTGCCCGGCCCAGGTGAAATGTAAGGTATCCTCCAAGGCCGTCTTTGTTTCACTTTTGAATGGATTTACTAGGAAATCTAAATCAAGCCATTGTTATTCAGGGCCAAGAACCTGATTTATCACATTTTTAATCGTGAATAGGAAAGATTAAAAAAGGGGGGGAACCCAAGCAGTTGCATTATCTCTCGGGGGTGGGGTGGGGGTGGGAAGCATTCATGAACCAGCAGGGGAGAGCCAATTGGAAACACCTAGACTGCTCAAAGTACTCCCAGCAGCTTCCGGTAGCGTTTTGTTTTTTTTTTTTTCTGAGGGGGGAAAGTTGTCTGACCACTTCATCTTGTTTGCAGAGCCGCCCTGCCACTTACATCGGTGTAATTTGTTCACATATCTTTAGGGTATTCCTTATTTGCACTTTAAGGATTTGCTTTGGAAGGGCAATCGCTGCCAACAGAAGTGTACAACTTCTGGCCTGCTCGAGGCCGTATTCTGTCGTGCTGATAGCTTCCAAAGAGAAGGGCAGCTGTGGCAGACGCGGAGGAGAGGGGCTGGCTTCCCGGGACCAGGCAAGTCTCCACTGGAGGCAAGTTTAAGTTCATAACCGCTGTAGTTTTGGAAGGAAAATGATCCGGCACGGGCAGTGTCCAGGGCGGGGTGGGGTGTGTGAAGCCCAGGAACGCGCCCAAGGCCTGAGTTGGGAAGTCTCGGGATTCTACACAGAGAGGTCTGAGACCTGTTTCCCCCCCAAATTGACAGAAGCCATCCCGGAGCTTCACGTCTTCATAAGGGCCCGAGTCTCTTAAAGTCATTGTTTTTTTCTCCCAGCGGAATAATATTTTAAAAACCATGGAAAGTTTTGGAAATGTGAGAAATGGGCTCTGCTGGTTTGACCCTGATTCAGTAATTAAAACGATCCCTCTCCTGTTATTCCCCGGGCTCTTTGCAATATTATAAGTTAATTCATATGGTTCTGAGCGATTATGCAAAACTAATTTGGACTGTCCAGGGGTAATTATCCCTGACACGGTTAATTAAATCCTTTCAAAGCTTCCGTCTTTCCCCTTTTGTGGCAGCCCCATCGCTTCTCAACACGGAACTTCCTGCAGCTTGCTGGAAATCACCCTGGCCCTAAATCTTAGTTACCTCCCGAGCCTACCAGCTCGGGCCCCAGCAGCAGAAGATTCCACCACCACCACCACCCCCGTCGCCCCTTGTGCCCCCTCCTCCCACCCTCTTCCAAAGTCCTGCGTTTTCTGGGAGAAAGGCTCCCTGCGCAGAAGAAAGGGAGGAAGTCTACAAAGAGCGGCAAAGGGAGGCGAAGAGATCACCAGGGGGAGGACCAGGGATGCACCCTGGACCATCACAGCTGTGGGTACCCCGTGAGGGGGACCAGGGATGCACCCTGGACCATCACAGCTGTGGGTATCCCGCGGGGGAGAAGGACCAGGGATGCACCCTGGACCATCACAGCTGTGGGCACCCCGCGGGGGAGGACCAGGGATGCACCCTGGACCATCACGGCTGTGGGTACCCCGCGGGGGAGGGGAAGGACCAGGGATGCACCCTGGACCATCACAGCTGTGGGTACCCCTTGGGCAGGCCCCTCACCGCGCGCTCTCCACTGATCTTCACTAACGAGTTGGCTGTTGGGGTCGGGGTCTACACCCAGAGAGGGCCTCTGGTCAGGCAGACCGTGCAGTAATCCGGGGTGGGGGGGTGTCCTAAGGGTGGGTATGTGGAGTAGCAGGAGCAGCTCTCAGGCAGGAAGGTGTGGAGAACGTACGCGTACGTGCCGGGGGTGGTTGGGTACCAGAGTCAGAAAGTAGCCAGGGCAAGAGGGGCAATTTCCCCGCTTCTCTGTTGCCCCCTCTCTATTTTCCTGCATTCCCTTACTCTGCAGGTCCTCCGCCTCGCCCTCTTCTCCTATCGCCACCTCGGCTTTGCCCTTCCAATTTCCAGTTTGGTTTAAACGCGACGTTTCTTTGGAGTCACGGGTGCCTAAAAGCCTTACACAAAACTTCGTCTCCGAAGGACGGAGCTTGTTACTTTCAGCTTTGAGCAAACAGGTGGAAACAGTGCGTTTTGAGCAGTTGGCCCTGTGTTGGAGAACACAGCTGCCAGGGGGGTGACTTCGTGGGGAAGCCGACGAGGTGGCTCCCGCCGCCCCGGTAACTTCCTTTGGCAGCCTCATCCCTCCCCAGCCAGGACTCCACAGCGTCCGGCTCTTGCCCAGGCTCCCTGCACCTTCGCAAGGTCGCAGATGAAGCAGAGACTTCCCGGGGTGGAGTGGGACTTGCCCGCCAGCCAATCAGGGCGCGGCTAGCTTGGCGCGGCGGCGAGCCCGGGTCCTCCCCGCTTCTCCCAGCGTCGAGCACGACCGAAGTGGCCGCGCGTCTCTCTCGCAGCCCCGCGAAGGCAGGGAGAGCGCCATCCAAACTTTATTAATCTCTCCCCTGTTCTTTCTCCCTCAGCCCAGTGCATCTCAAAGGTCAACCTTCTTCTTTTAAAAGACTGATATTATTAATTCACTGACAATCTCCCCCCTCTTTTTTTTTCTTTCTCTCTTGCAGGAAAAAAAAAAAGGAAAACGGTGAAAGAGCTTTTTCTTTTTTCTTTTTTTCTTTTTTGTCCTTCAGTGGGAGCGTTTAGACAGTCGAGGATGTTTTGTCCGGGAACAAAACGCGGGGTTGGGAGGTTTTGTGAGAGTGTTGTTTGTTGAAGTGGAGCTAAGAAAAAGCGACGGCTTTCTCCTCATTGTGAAGAAACCAATCGCTGGTATTTGGAAAACTGTTAGCATTGTGCACTTCTTCTGTGTCCATTGTGAGGCGTTTCTTTTCACAAGGTTTTTTTTTTTCAGCCGATCCAGCTGGCCGGAATGAATAGCGGTGCAATGTGTACTGGCTTTGTCCCTCCGGCCTTCAAGTAGCCCCAATTGAATAGACTAAGTTGACACTGCGTGACAGTGAAACAACATAATAAAAAATACATGAGCCCCTGAATAGGAGCAGGCGCATAAATAAATAAAATGGGTGACCAAAACTGGATAAACTGAACGACGGAACGGTGAAAGGGGAACAAAAAGATATTTAACACGCTAGATTAGCATTAGAATGCCATCTACAAGGCAGAACAATTGATGAATAGGTTTACCCGCCAAGAAAGAAATGGACTAAATGCCCTTTGAATGGATATGCTTTTTGCAAGGGCTTTGAATAGATATGCTTTTTCCTAGGGCTGAATGGGAAAAGGTAAGGATGAAGCTATGTAAATGAGTGGGGGAACTTTTTATATATATTCTTTAAACACACACACACACACACACACTGCGGGGGAAGAGTACCTCCGCCTCGGGGTGTTTACAGAAGCAATAATTGCCGTGATTAGCATTGTCTGCTGCAGATAGAAACTGAACAGGTTGGGATAATATAGGATAGCAGCGATTATTCTTCTAATTAATGATCCTTTGCTACCCGAAGAAAGGAAAAAAGGAAGGGAGAAGTAAAAGTTACGTAAAAGTTGTGTTTCCACGGGTCCACTCGCTGGGATGTGTGCCGCATCGAGCCCGGCAATGCGGTGTCACAGTCTCATCTCAGAGCATTCCAGGGGACCCATCCTGCGGCTCCCCAGGGACGGCCTCTTTTCCCTTCCTTGTTCCTTCTGCGTTCCCGAGTCTCATACAGAGCCTGGCACATGATAGGTGAGCTCGACGGATGCACACTGTTGGATGAGTGGATGGATGGAGTGGGGCACTGATAAAGATGAGATAAATTTTAAAAGAAGGAGGAGGAAGTAGAAGAAGATAAGAAGAGGAAGTTTTTAAGATTCCAGGAGCCAATCACCTGCATCCGAGTTCTCCTTCCTCCCTGGAAGATGGGGGCGCAGGAGCACGTCTCACTCACCTTCGGAGACAAGCAATTTTTTTTAAAAGGATGGCCTCATTCCTGTTTTGCTCCCCCCCCACGCACTCCTCCTTTCTGGCTTCTAGACATCCTAGCTTGAATGGGAGGGAGGGACGGGACTCGCCCTCCTTGAGCTGCTGGGGGGGGGCACGGTATGGGCGCTCTTGGGTTCCCTGCCCTGGAGGCACACATTGCTACACAGGCCCTCCAAACTAACTTGGGAAACGTTTCCTTCCCATGTTTCATTGCCAGGCTGCTGGTGGCTGCTGGACTACCCGGCAGTCTTAACTTAATAATGCAAATTCTAGAGCACCCAGCTGACATGTGAAGAAGGAAACTCAGTCTCTGAACTGGGCAGCCAACTGCAAACCTCCCTGACTGGCAGTGAAACTTCACAATTATGGGCAAAAATGAGTGCCTGTAGTTCTCAAAGCACCAACACCCCTCCCCGCCCAGCAATCTGGCCTAAGTGCCAATGTACTGGGAAAGGCTCGTTCCTTTTAAAATGTAACTTGAGCCTTCTAGCTTTTGGCTCTTCTCAAAACATACAAATTCCTAGAAACGGGCAAATCTGAGAGTCCTGTGATGCTCTATGCGGAGACACCTGTAGGGAAGGGAGTCCATTGGGTGAACTAAATCTTAAGATTCCAGCAGTGGGAGAGTTGGTGTGACTGCTGGGCCTTCAGGAAAAGGCACCTCTACACAAGGGTTACCTTGCTCAGTACGCCCCCCTCTGCGCATGCTCCCTCCTGCATGCGTTACTCCCCACCCCACCTCTGCTGCCCAGCATTTCATCCACAGATGATTCGAGAGAAAATTAGAATCAGCTATGGCCTTTTAATTCCTTCCGAAGATGTCTGCACCTGGTTTCTGCCCACTCTGCGCTCCTTCCTGGTTTCATTGCCGTAGGGCGGGGGAGGGGGGGAAGGGGGTGGCCTTATTTAGTGACTTTTTGACAAACAAGTTTAGGTGCGAATTGCAAAGGCCTCACTGCTCGTCTTGGGTGTGTTTATCATCATGTTAGCCAAGGGCTTGGAGACACATGGCCTTAGTACTCATTTCGAGCCTCTAGGTGAAGACTAGTAAAACCAGATTTCCTTAGGGAAACTGCAAGGGCAAGCCACCTAAAGGGATTCCTGAATTGATAATTTCACTTGCATTCACACTTCCCTAAGCAACTGCACTGACACACATACACACACACGCGCGCGCGCGCATTTGCACACACACACACACACGCATACACACGCGATTGCACACACACACAAATGCACGCACGCCCACACACCATTGGATTTCAGGGTCGTCCCAAGGTAATTAGCCATTTGCAGATAATCTAAATCCCGAGAAAGAAAAAACAAAAGCACTGTCTAACCGAGACCAAGTGAAGCTTTTCCTATCGATTGTCTCTGCTGGGGCCACCCTTTCCTCAAGTGGGGAGGAGTGAAAGAAAGTCAAGCAGCCTTTGTGAGGGCCCTCAAGACCTCAAGCAGGGAGGAGCAAGCTTCCTAGAGAGTCTCCCTGGGAGCCTTTGCCATGGAACTCAGGGGCCCCCTTGGGAGCCCGACTTGTCTTCCCCAAATCCTTCACAGGCTAACTGGACTTCTGGGAGCCGTTGAGCCCCTTCTACACACACACACACACACACACACACACACACACAGAGACAGACAGACAGACAGACAGACAGACAGAGACAGACAGACAGACAGACAGACAGACAGACAGACAGACAGAGACAGAGAGAAACTGAGATTTGAAGCGGGCCTCTCAGCTTTTGTTTTTAGATCGCAGGAGAGGTGAACTCAACTCATGCCAAGTGCACAGTTTCCGCCCTTCTGGAGATCCACGCCGGGTACCCCAGAAGCCAAAGCTACCGCATGGGGCTGAGACTGCAGGCGAACACCCGGGAGTTGTGCGCCAAAACACTTCCTGGCTCTCACGCTCACATTCAAATAAATTTTTGCTGAGGCTTTTTTTTTTTTTTTAATTGGGCCGTTTGAACCATCGCCTCGGTGGCCTCACTTTGCAGAGATCAATTCCAGGTCTAGGAGGCCAAAGGAACCGAGCAGAGCCTGGAAGAAGAATCTTCTGGACAGCATGGACAAAATGGGTATAGGGGGACACCCAAGAGAGGGGGGGCAGCCCAGGAAAGTCAAGGGACGGACAGAGGAGGAAAGGGGGCGGACGCGACACTTGAGGGTCACCAGAGGAAACAGCAGGTCCCTCCCAACCAAGGCCAGGTTAAGACCTTTCTCGGCTAGCTCCTTCCGAGTCAGCCGGGAGAGGTGAAAGCCCCCTGGGGAGGGAGGAAAGCAGAGGTGATGGGAAGGGTGTTGAGCTAGCTCGCTGTGGTCCTGAAGGCCCCACCCCGGGGCTGGGATTACTTTGGAAAGAAGATCTCTTGACCTGGACCGCCCTCTCTCATCCACGAATTTAACTCCTAAAGAGCCACAGTCAAAACAGAGTTTTGCAACCTGAACGTTGTCTGATGGGGGGGAGGGGTTAGCGAGGGGCGAGGGAAGGAGGGGGAGGGGTGAGAGAGGGAGGGGTGGTTATCGAGGGGTCGCTATTAAGGCAAACGGACAGCATTCCCAAAGGACTCTGGGACGGACCTCGTCTTCGAGGAAAAGGCGGAGACTTCCAGAAAAATCTAAACTGCCTGGGGTTAGATCTTTAGAACAACCCGGGAGCGCACTCCCAGCTCCGGAGACGAGCCCTCCAGGCAGCTGCCCCCAAAGTCAGAACGGGGAGCGCGAGATCTTTTAGGAACGGACTTTTCTCCTGCAGTATAAATAAATAAATAAATAAATTGACAGACAGACAGACAGACAGGTAGACCTCAGGCTTGAGTAAGTGGTTCAAGCTGTTGATGAATATGCACGAGAACCCGGCTGTTTTAAGGAGCGTGAATAAACATGGCACGGTGTCCCCTCTCGCCTAACGTAGCTGGGGAGGAGGGAGCCGACTCGCAGCGACTTTGCTCTGTCGGGATTCCTGGCGGTGCTGAGCCTCCGCCGGAGCCTGAGAGAGTCTCTGTGCGCCCCACAGCCCTGTGCGTCCCGCCGGGACACGGATCAGTACTCGCTGTCTCCTGGATCTCTGGATACAGTTTTCTTTATCCCTTCCCAAAGTTTTGAGCGGATGTTACAACGAAGGGGAGTCCCGGAGCAAAGCTATCCAATCCATGGTTTCCTGCGATTGAAGGGCAAAGGAGCAGGCTGTGCTCCGATGAGGCATTCGCTTTCCGTTGTGTGTGGACCCATCGTCCATCGCTACACTTCCCAAACCTTCTCCCGCTGCTGGAATGGCCCTAGTGTCTGTCCCCCTGGAATCAAAGCGCTTTGGTCTTTGGACCTACGAAAAGAGACAAGAGCAGGCCTTGGCAGCTTCCATAGTCTCTCTGTCCCCAACGTCAACATCTGTGTCTCTTGAACACACTTTTGGTGACAGCCCGGGTGGCAAGGAGTGCCCCCAGCACCTGCTCAGATCTGAGAATCAGAGAGGAAGTGAAGATACAATGTGACCTTGGACCAGGCCCCGCAGAACAACCATGCAGACCTCGGCAGGGCTTTAGGCCTTCAGAATTCTGCTTCAAACTCCAGCAACCCAAGTTCTCAGGACGACAGGATCATGCAGCAGCTCCCTGCAGTAGAAAGAGCTGCCTGGGGAACCCTGGGGAACATTTTGCAGAAGGGGTGGGTTGAGCTTCCTCCAACCAGAGTTTGCCTACTAAACACGAATCTGAGGCTGCCATAATTCAACCCACTAGATAAGGAACAGGCTGAGGTCCTGCTGAAATTTGGTATAACCGAGGCTCCGACCCAGATCACAAGGTCCAGGACTTTCCCTCCAAGATGGCATGACCTTGGGACATCTATTTACAAACCAAGCTCCAGCATGCGACCTATGGCCTGCACCTGCGTTCCTTGGTGGATGTCACTACATTTAAATGGATTTAAAGGTTACTCTAGTCTCCGTGTGTGGCAGCTGGCTGTCAGGGAGCCTGGGGCTAGCTGGAGGGGGCCGGCAGAATGCTGGGTAGTTCTGTTTACTAAAGAGTGGCTGGCAAGCACTTATGGACTCAACGTGATCAGGAGCTTGTGCAGATGGTAGGGTGTGCAGAGGTGGGCAGAAAGTGAGGGTGGGGAGACACACTGTCTCTGATATCAAGGGGAGGACCTACTAATGGGTGGGGGGTGGCCATACTTCTGGTAATAACTGGGGTCCTGATTGCCCGTTTGCCTTTCCTGAGCTCTGGGCCAGGAAGCACTCTCCTTCCTTACTCTTTGAGAATTCCCCAGTGTTAGTCAGGGTTCTCTACAGGAAAAGAACTAACAGGATTGGGGGGGTTGTTAGAGTGCCTTAGGGCTCTGGTCCTGGTAGTCCAATAGCTGTCTACCAATGGAAGGTTCACGAATCTAGGAGTTGTTCAGTCGGTGATGCTGGATGTCTCTGCTGGTCTTCAGTATACTCAGATTCTGGAAGCAGGAGGCTCTACTGCCAGTGAAAGAATGGGCATATCAGCAAGAATAACGGCAAACAGGCAAAGAAAGCAAGCTTCTTTCTCCTAGTCCTTATGTAGGCTGGTGGCAGAAGGCGTGGCCCACATTAAAGGTGGATCTTACCAAAACACCCAGATCCAAGGTGGCTTTTCCCATTTCAAACGGTTTAATTAAGAAAAACCCCTCACAGGTGTGCCTAGTCACTTGCATTTTAGCTAATTCCAGATGCAGCCAAGTTGACCACCAAGAATATCCATCCCTAGAAATGAAGTCCATTTCCCAGCATGCACATCATTCACTGACTTGTCCGGCTCTTACAATGTGGCACCCAGTATGTTCCAAGGGAGGGATCCTATCCCATATCAAAGACCTCCATCACCCACTGCTGCCCCTCAGCTCATTTCAGGATGTGCTCCCTGACATCCTTGAAAAAACCAGAGTTCTTGGGAGGACTTGTTCCTGGGGTACCTCATTCTCCTAACAGGACTGCAGGAAGACAGATTTGGGGGCCTCTTTAGTCAAGGGGGGGGGGAAATGCTTGCACCTTTGTTTACTATTGTTTTTTCCTGCTTTAATCCACTAACACTACATTGGCTTTTGCCCAGATGTTCAGAGTCATGTTTTCTGGCTTAACATGACCTTTGAGAAGGGAGTAAATCCCAGCTATGAAGCCCCAGCTGGCGTGGGGAGTCCTCAGGCCCTGCCTCTGCTCTTCCTTGTGAAGCTCTGGCCCCCCCCCCCTTGTTTCCTTTTTCCTTCCCTTTCCGCTCCACCCTTCCTCTCCAGTTCTTTAATCAGTGCTGAGCCCAAGATAGGCAGGAACCCTACAACTGACCCACATACCCAACATCTCTGACATTTACTTTTCACCCAGGAGAAAGAAAGTACTAGCAGACCCTACAGAAAGCCTGAGTGGTCTAAGAAGGGTAGAGACGCTCGTCCTACTAGATTTGGAATCCTTCTGGCTGTACTGAAGGTTGCAACTGAAGAACCGAGGAATAGGTGCCCCAGGTCCCAACATTGCCCTCTTAACATCCCTAAGGTGAGCAAAATAGCATCCCTTCAACCACACAGCTGCCCACTGGCTAGCCTTCCTGTATCACAAATGCGGCCTCTCTACCAGCAAAGAGACAGTTCCTCCTCAGCAAAAGGGCAGCTGCTCACAGTAGAGTGCCAGACACACTCCCTCTCTGAAAGGCAGCCTCTGGGTATCTCTCTTTCTACTGACCACACCTTTGTATGAGCCCCTTTCCGGAGTGTAGACTGGAGCAGTGACTCCTTTTAACACAGATTAATGTTAAGTTACGCAAATAGTGGCCCTCCCCCTACTTCCCAAATCCCTTTCCCTGCTTCTTCCTCCAAGGGAAGAAGGCAGCCGCCATTTTGCTTTTGTAGATGGTTCTGTGGAGAAACCCTGAGGGCAAAAGGCTTAAGCTGATGCCCAAAGACTGACCTGGAAGCAGTTTGCTCCTTGCCCAGGGTTCTGAGGGAACGACAGCCAGGCCTGACATCTCGTTTGTAGAACTGGGAAAGATCCTGGTCCGCAGCCACTCAACAACAAGGTACTCCTGAAGAATCAGAACACAGTCAAAATGGTTGTTTTGATACACGGAGTTTTAAAACCTATTGTTATTATACGGGGATACACAAGACCATTTTCATGCAAGTATGTAATGTACTTTGAGTATATTCTCCCCACACCCCACTGGCCTCCCATTAATTCTCATTGCTACACTTTGCTACTTTCATGTCGCCATAAGCATAGGTGATTTTATGTGTCTATACAGTTTAGAAAAAAATGAGAGAGCATATTCAGTATTTGTCTTTCTGAGATTGATTTAATTCATTCATTCCTTTCTTTTCCTTCCTTTATTTTTTTCTTTCTTTCTTCCTTCCTTTCTTTCTTTTTTCAAGACAGGGTTTCTCTGTAGCTTTGGAGCCTGTCCTGGAACGCGCTCTGTAGACCAGGCTGGTCTCGAACTCACAGAGATCTGTCTGCCTCTGCCTCCCAAGGGCTGGGATTAAAGGCGTGCGTCACCAGCACCCAGTCCTGATTTAATTTCTTAATATGATTATATCCAATTGCATCTATTTTCCTGTGAAGGACATAAACTTCATTCTTCATGACTGTTAAAAGAAACTACAGTCCATATAAATCACATTTTCTTCATTTTTTCCTCTACTGATGGGCACCTAAGTTGGTTCCAGAACTTGGCTCATGTGAACGGCGCTGCAGCACATGTGGATGTCTGAGTCTCCCCGTGAAATGTTGGCTTGGATTGTGTATTGAGACTCTGCCTCACCCAGTCAGGATGGCAGTCCTGGAGGAAACAAATAACAGGCGCTGATGAAGATGAGAACAAAGGGATGCTCACACATCGCTGAGAACATCAACTAGCCAGGCTACTACAGAGTTTCCCAAGTACTTAAAAAAACTGGACTCCGCAGCCAAGAGAGCTTGCTGCATCCATTGCTCGTTGCAAAAGAATTGATTTTGGTTTCTAACACCCACACAGGTTGACTCTGGTTCTAACATCCACACTCACAGGTCCAGAGCTGATGTCCTCTTCTGGAATCCATAGGTATCCATACTCAATGCTCTCTCTCTCTCTCTCTCTCTCTCTCTCTCTCTCTCTCTCTCTCTCTCTCTCTCTCTCTCTCTCTCTCTCTCTCTCTCTCTCTGCTATAATATCGCCCCTGGCTACTATTTACTCTAAAACTCTGAGCTTTGAGATAGGTGTTATCCATGAAGTGATGCTTACAGACCAAGACGACCCTGTAATATCCTCAAGGACATGGCTCCAAGCAACTCTCCCTGCAGCAATTAAAAAAAAAAACTTCCTTAAAACAACACCAACAACAACAAAAGCCCCAGAACCACACCCACTTCTCTCCCCAGCTACCTGTTCACATCTAGGCTCTCCCCAGCACGACTTCTGTACTGTAAGATGCCCATCTGGGCCTTCTGTAGTCTATGCCACCTTCTATCTCCTATACCCTCTGCGTAGTGTTTGCCCTCTTCCGACGTCACCGTTTCACACCTGCTGTGACCCAGGGCCCCAGTGGCTTCTCGTCACCTGGTCCAGCTGTCAATTCCCACCCACAGCACATGCAGACGGAGTGTCACTCTTTCTCCCTAGACGTGTGACTGGGCTTTGAGGACACCATGCTCACAGCTGCTGTTTTTCCTGCCTTGTCGTCGGGGACTTTCTGCCTTTCTCTCTTCCTGGTTCCAGGTTCTTCAGCCTCTTGTCATTTTATCAAGAATGATAGAATTTCTGTGTGTGATGCCTTCCTGCCTGTAATACCAGTACCTGGGAGGCTTGAGGCAGGAGGATTGCCATGAGTTTGAGGCCAACCTGAGCTATACGGCGATTTCTAAGTCGGCCTGAGCTATGGAAAAACAAGTTAGGAATCTACTCACTATTCTCCCATTTCAAACAAGCTGCAATTTGTTTTCTGCCATTATTTGAAGTTCTACAAGAAGCCACATACGCTCAATCATATATCCTTGTAATTATTGGAATAAACTTGTAGCTTAGTATGAACAAGCAGAAGCTGCAAAAGCCAGACACCCCAAACTTCAATGCCGATGCAGCAGAAGGATTTGGTTCCGTTTGTTTTCAGTTCATGGGTTAGCATTGGGCTGATGTCACCATTGTTGTAGAATGTTAGTTGAAGACATGTTACATTTGTTTATGCTGAGGAGCATTTGTCTAATGGTGCAAAGACGTGTTGCATTCTTTTTTGTGGCATTTGTTTAACTCTGAGGAGCTGTGTGACTTTGCCTGTCTAAATACCTGCTTGGTCTCAAAAGAGCTGAATGGCCAATAGCTGGGTAGGAGAAAGGAGAGGCGGGGATTGTCAAGCAGAGAGGATAAATAGAAGGAGAAGAAGAGAGGATGGAGGAGAGACAAAAAGGAGGAGAGGACACCAGGGGCCAGCCACCTGGCTACACCACAAGCCGTGGAGTAAGAAGTAAAGAAAGGTATATAGAAGAGGAATATACAAGCCCAGAGGCAAAAAGTAGAGGAGATAATTTAATTTAAGAAAAAACAGCCAGAAACAGGCCGAGTAAGCCCGGGCATTCATAAGAAAGAATAAGACTGTGTGATTTATTTGGGAGCTAGGTAGAGGGGCCCCCAAACAGCCAAGGGAGTAAAGAAAACCAAGAGCACCCCGGGCCCGGGAGACTCCATTTCCAATGTGCTTCTCTGACAGGTCCAGCAGAGGAATACAGCATGGCATTGCTGCAGTCTAGTTACTAACTATTCCCCCGAGGGCCATGCGGCAAAGGACTGATCTCCGTAGATGCCTATCGTATATGCCTATTGGAAGTGACAAAGCCTAGCGGGAAACCAGCGGGTCATTAAAGGCGCTCTGAAGGGGACAGTGGGACCTCAACCCCTTCTTCTCTCTGTCTGGCTTCATGGCGTGGGTCGAACCACCGTGCTCCATTACACACTCCTGTCATGCTCTGCCACAGGCCCAACAGGGCAGAGTGACTGCCGACTGAAATCCCCGTGCGAGTAAGCTGGGACCAACCTTTCGGCCTTGACTAGTCTCAGGTGTGTGTTATGGTAGCAAAAGCTCGCCCACACAACAGACCTATGTCAACTTCTAACGTTTCTCACCAGGGGCGGAGCAATGACTCCGTGATTGACAGCTCTTGCAAGGGATCCCCGTTTGCTTCCCAGCACCCACATAGCAACTCGCAACTGCCCTTAATTCCAGTTTCCCCAGTTTCAGGGGATCCGGCCCACCCTACTGGCCTCCACGGGCACCAGGCATACATGTAGTGAACTTCTATATATGTAGGCGAAACACTCATAGGTGCAAATAAGAATAAATCTTTAATAAAAAGTCTCACTGAAAGCAATACTCATCTCTTCTACTCACATGTCACTGGCCAAAAAAAAAAAGTCACAAATGGTTTCGCCATGTGCACAAAAAAAAAATAAAACTTGAGACTACTGGGCAAAATGTACTATTGATCATCTGTGGTAGTTTGAGTGCAGCTGACTCCCATAAGATTATAGGGTGGGGCACTCTTGGGAGGTGTGGCCTTGTAGAAGTGGGTGTGGCCTTGTTAGAGGAAGTGAGTCACTGTGGAGACTTTGAGGTCTGCCATGCTCATGCTATGACTGGTTCAGTTCACTTCTTATTGCCTGACAATCAAGATGTAGAACTCTCAGCCCCTCCCCCGCATGCCACATCTGCCTGTGAGCAGCCATCATCCAACCATGAAACTGTAAACCACCCCAATTGAATGGTTCCCTTTATAGTAGCTACCTTGGCCATGGTGTCTCTTCACAGCAATAGAAACCCCGAGACAGAAGTTGGTATCAGGGACTGGGGTACTGCTATGATAGGTCCGCCCCTGCCTTTTGTTTGGAGGAATTTGGTCTTTGGGAGTTTGGATTAGGAAAGCAGTGGGATGCTTTAAGCAGGGCTTAAGGGGCCATACCAGTAGGACCTTGAAAGACTGTGATGCTGAGTGTGATTTGAACTGTCGGGGCTGGATCGGATCAAGAGGTTCAAGAGAAGAATTTTAGTATGTTGTCTAGAAATCAATCTTGGTGTATTTTGGTGAAGAAAGTGGCTGCTTTTTTTACCCTTGTCCAAAGAGTCCGCCTGAAGCTAAAGTGAAGAGTTCTGGATTAATTCCATCAGCAGAGGAGATCTCAAAACAGGCTACCATATACTCCGTCATGTGGATATTATTGGTGACTCTAACGAAGATTTATAATGAAAAGGAGCAAGCTGAGGAGTAAGGAAAAATCCAAAATATGAAATTGAGGAGAAAGGGGGCACCAGAAAGTGGAATGGAGCTAAGTCCTGTGTTTAAGGAGACAAACAGGCTAAGAAATGGAATGAAGGGAGTGGTGGCCACAGGGTAAGATCCCACCCATCTGAGTTTTCAATTTGTGAAAAGGAATTAAAGAAAAGCTTAGTGTTGGGTGTGGCGGTGCCCACACTCAGAAGGCAGAGGCCGGCAGACCTCTGAGTTTGAGGCCAGCCTGATGTACGGAGTGAGCTCAAGGGCAGCCAAGCTTAGGGAGTGCAGGAAACGGCGGAAAACAGGAGGTCGGTGATGCGGGTGGTTGTGTTCTAGCCCCATCAAGCAGCAGAATTTGGCAGCCTCAGCCCCATGGTTCTGGCTTTAGAGTCAAGGAGTGATTAAGGAAAACTGGTGAGGCCAGGCATGTGTCAGGGGTGTCCCTGAATGGAAACCCAGAGAGGCCATGGTAGGAAGCTGTGAAGGAGAAGCCTGGATTGCATTGGAGACCCCAGGATGTTAGAATTGCCAGAGTCGCGGGACACCTGCCAAAGAAAGCTGCTCACAGCAGGGAGTGGATCCATCTAGAAAGAAGTGTGTTGCAGTCAAGGAAGCTGAGAGGAGTTGGAGATCTGAAGAGCACTTGGACACCAGACATGGAGATGCAGAGTCTGGAGTTTGCCCAGCTGGTTTTTGGTCTTTCTTTAGTATTTCCTCACTATGGTCCCTTCCCTATGTTTTGAAATGGTCGTGCACATCCTGTGCCGTTGTATGTTGGATGTATAGGAT